GAAAAAAAAAAAAAAAAAAATCCTCTGAAACTGCATCGTTGAGCTTTTGTTCTTCGATCAGCTGCAAGTTAATGAACCAGGTAACTTGACGATGAAAAGTGAGAATCACATGAGACGTGTGTTTTAAGTTTCGCTCTTCGGGCTGAGAGGAGGGTTTTTTTGGGGGAAACCTTGAAAGCACCGTGTCGTCAGTCTGTTCCTGGAAGAAGAAGAAGAAGAAGAAGAAGAAGAAGAGACCGGGCGGCCGCAGCAGCAGCAGCGGGCCACCACCTCTCCACACCCGGGCTGATTTCACCGCGTTCCCGAGCCTTTAACCGGGAGTTCAGATTATTGAACCGGATGCCTCTATGGTCCGGTTAGCCTCGCAGCGAGACACACCGCGTCCAGTTAGCACAAGGTAAGCTGCTCCGGCTCCTCCAAATTAGCTAGCAACACGGTTAGCTGAGCCGTGTCACGCTCGCCGAACCCCATTCGCAAATCCGCCGATTTAACGGCGACTCGCTTCTCGTCGCACCGTTAATTTCCAACCCCCGGCCTCGGTGGAACTGTCCCGGGGATCGTCGGTGTCCGGGTCCAGTTCGGGCTCGAGTCCGAACGCCATGTTAGACGTTCGCGTTTTAAAAGCACAGGGCGGTGGCAGCGAAAATGTGAACGACCCTTAATGAGGATTTGCGCTTGTGCACAATTGAATGTTCCCTCGGCTGTGCATGAAATGTACGCCGAATTGCTCAGCGTGTTCGGGTTAGTGTTTTGGAATGAGCAGACAGAGTTATTGCGTTGGGTTAACGCGTACAGACAGGCACGATTTGTTGAATTGCCGAATTTGCAAACGGGAGTTCCGCATATTTGCTTTCTGGGCTAGCTGGAAGCTCAGCGTCACGGGCCACAAGTGCTGGCTGACATGTTTCCACACGAATGCATGAAGTTCTGCTGCAGGAACACACCTTCAGGTAGTCACACAGGTGGGTTAGCTAACAGCTAGCTGCAGCATCCGGACCCACAGGACGTGTGATGGAAGAACATAACAAAGAGAAGGGACAGTCTACATGTTGACGGGGTGTCTGTGTGAGAGGAACCGGGCTGTAAAACTGAAAGTATCTGGGTCTCATGTTCGGGCCGATTAGCGAAGGATTAGAGCTCCACAAGGACGAACAGGCGACAATCACGCGGCATTCGTCGTTCCCCAGAGCGGACGGTCATCCCGGAGCATCGGCCTCTTCCCCCCCCGCAGAGCAACACCTGAAGCCCCGCAGGTCTGAGGACTCATCCTCCGAGCGACACTCGAGTTCAGCTGCAGACCCAGTGGAGGAAACAGTCTTTAACTAATGTCTGACACGTTCACAGGGGAGCTTCATCCACTGACCTAATTATGGAAGTCAAGGCTTTGTGTCTCCCAACATGTGCTCCCCCCCCCCCTCCCCCTCTCCCCCACACAGATGTGGTCAGTGAGATATTTCCGGTGACGGTTAACCACTGACCTCAGATGAACCAACTCTTCCGAGGAGAATTGAAATCATTCTGCTCTGTAAGGCTCAGGAGGAAGTCTAAAGATCTTTTAACTGAGTGATCATTTAAGAGGTTTTCAGAGACGAACGCCGGATGACGTCCCGGGACAACTGGGTCCAGACTCCTCGCGTGCATTTGCGTCTGAAGAACGCAGCGAGCGGCGTTCACGGCGACAAGGGAAACATCCGGAGCGCTGAGGTGCAGGAAGTGGAAATAGATCAGTTGTGCAGCGTGGAGTCTGTGATGGTCGCACGTGGACGTTCTGTGACCTCGAGATCTCAGGGAGGCTCCACCCCCCCACCCCCACCGCTCCTCCAAATATGGTCACTTATGGTTTCAAAATACAAGATGGCGCTGGACAAAATGTTGGGGCTTCAGAACGTCCCGGTGGCTCGACACTCCCACACAGCAGCAGTGCTACACGCCACAGTTCGATCCCCACGTTAGGATCGTTCAGTGTCACATCGACCTGTGTCCCGCACGCCACTTAGACTGACTTCCGTTCTTTTGTGGCCTCAGGCAGCGCTAAAGAACGGCAGCCTTTGTTGTCATGCATGTGATTTTTTTTTTTTTTTTTTTCCAGTGTGGCACAGTTTTCAGAATTCTTAACAGACGTGTACACGATGGAGAAACTTTCACTGTTTGGAAAGTGGAGCAGAGACATTCAGAGATTCATAGAGAATCTGAATCTGTAGATGTTTGTTTGTTTGTTTGTTTGTGTCCGACTTTCTCAACTTCCTTGTTTGGTGCGGACATTTTGAATTTTTCAGTTTATCAGGTGTGAAAGGTTCTTGGGACCAACTGTCCACGATGTCGTCCGACCAGAAGAGCCGGTCTGGATCAAACTGGTTCGGTTCGTTCACGGGTTGAAAACGTTTTATTGTCGATAGTTCGGACTTTGAATCAGTTGCAGGAAGTTGAGACATCATGAAACGATAGAAGAAGCAGAATCAGCTCCTTCGACACGTGAAGTTTGTCTGAAGTTCGGACTTTCAGGTGTGAGAACTGGACATTAGACTTGTTTTGTAATTGTGTTTATTGTGTGTGGAACCGGCTCGTGTGTGTTATAGTCACACACACCTTAGACAGCCGTTGTTATTTTAAACTATAAAGAGCTATTTTAAGAGATGTTATTCTCGCTGAATGAAAACTTTGAGTCGTTGCCCTCGATCCTCAAATCATTTTCTTCACGTGTGGTTTTGATAACAGACCTCGTGTCAAGCAATAAAGAACATCTGTCTTGAGCTGGCACGGGACTTAGATGTTTGAAGAGTTTACTTTTATGCTCTTTACTAATAATAGCTCTTTAAAAATAATAACTGAACTCTAAATACGGACGTCAGTGATTAATCAAGTGTTTTTGTGTCTGTGCTCACCAATTTATTTTTATCCTGGTTTATCTTAATATCACAACACCATTGGAATCTTCTTTGAAAGAGATTTGGTGAAATTTCTAAATCCGTCTCGTCTGAACAGTCATTTTATATGAAGTGTAGAAGACTCTGGAGAATTTGTCTTCTAGTCAGTGTTGTGACTCAAGTTTCTTTTAGTAGTAAAGTACATTACTACTCCACAGGGAACAGGGCCTTAATATATTTCTGCCTAAATATTTTTCTCCCTCACGTTCTTTATGTTTGTGAAAAGGCTCAAAGTCAAATGTTTGTGAATGAACACTTGACTCCAGTTTTTGTGTGTGTGTGTGTGTGTGTGAGTGTGTGTACCATGTGTGTAGACACAGGGCAGTTTTTTAAAGTCGACGCAGCGCTGACTGCAGTTGGCTAATCAACCTAATAGAGTTGGCTCAGAGAGACTCAATCGATTGCTTCAGTGGGAGCTGCAGGGTGACGGTGAGATCGGTGCGGAGTCTCAGAGCTTCTACAGCGTTTCAAATGTTAAAGGGCCTGGTTTTACTCTCCCCGTGGATCTGCTCCCTGTAGAGCTGCGATTGTGCAGGATGCTTCGAGGATGCGTGAAGTATTTACATCTGCTTCTTGGCCTCAGCCGACACGCCATCTGGGCCTGCAGCGCTTCCATCGTTCAGGAAAGAAATAACGAGCTTTTTTCATTTGCTCTTTGCAGCGTTTATTTCCAGTCACTAGCTTGACAAGATCTTCTTCGGTGCTTTAAATGTTGTCATTTAACTCGATCTGTCCTCCAGAGCACACAGATGTTTGACTGAAGCAGCTAATAATTATCAATGAATGTCTAAATACTCAGTGTCAAATGCACGTACGCAGTGTGAAGCTTATTTTTTATCTCCACAACAGGCTCTGATCTAATCGGATGACAGACTGTAACAATAAAGCTGCTTTCACCGGTGCATTGAAATATGATTCAGCGGATTTCCTGTAAAAAGCAAGAGAATGACGTTAAGGCAGACGAGTTGAGTGAGCGAGGCTGGTTATCAGCTACCTGTCCAGCTCTCACTTCCTCTCAAAGACGTCCTCTGGATGGGATCTAATTTTAGCACGTAGAAAGTTTGGATGTGAACAAAGTGAAGCCCTGTTTGTGTTTGAACAGAGCAGATATTGTTAGAGAGCTTGTGTTTGTGTCTCACTTTGTCGCAAAGTGTGGGGGAGGTGTGCACTTTGAGTTGAAAGTTCAATATCGGGATATTTAAAACTGTTTAAACAAGCTATTTGAAGATGTCACCTAAAGAAAAGCTCTTTGAAATCTGTGACTATTTGTCACAACTTTGTCATTTCCTCCTGCAGGGAAATTCTTTTACAAGCTTTTAGTTCTAAACAAATCAAACTGACAAATAACTGGTTGAAAACATCGATGTTTGATGACAAACGTCCATTTTCATTACTAAAAGTAAAAGGAGCTAAGTGGAGGTAGTTTATCTTACAGGGCACAGCACTGATGAATCAATCATTACAAATAATCAACGAATGAATATTAGTTTCAGCCCTGAACACATGAACTGAGAACACTTTGTAAAATAACCCAAAAAGCTCTTTTCTCTTAATAACTTCAATAACTGAGGTGAGAAGCTTTGGTGAAATGACAAACCCGTGCTCAGTTCTGGTAAAAGCTGTTTGTGATAATTGTGAGTTTTTAATCTGTTGTAAATCCGTCTTGTGTGTAAACTATTAAATCGTTGTCCACATGCCAGTGTCAGTTCTCTGTGAATCAACATGTCAGTAGTTCGGAGTTGAATATTAATTTTTCCCCAAAGCTCTACAGGTTTGAGAATTTCCCACGAACCCCCAGAAACGCTTGATGAGAGCGTTCTGCTGTGGGTTCGCTGCAGTCGTTTGCTGCGCAGCCTGTACAGTTTGACTCCCTCCGTCTTTGCTCCGGTTCCGGCACCTTCTGTTTCTCACACAGCGGCACAGATCTGTGGATACGTGCTCAGCTGGTCGGGGTATACGTGTGTTTGGCCAGACTCTGACCGGGACGCTGGCCCTCTCTGACAGGGACTTGGACGGGTAATCTGTGAGATCAGCAAAATGTAATCTTCTTTGGTCAACGACCCGGACAGCGTTGTTTGTGTGGCTGAATAAGAGTGTGTGTGTGTGTGTGTGTGGGTTCAGTAGTAATCCTGCCTCTATATTGTAGATGAGAGACACTTTCTGAAGACTGTGGGACTTTAGTGTTGTGAGTTCCCTGTGACACAGTATTAACCGTCAGAGCACCACCGATGTGGAGCGTCAGTCGTGCGAACCTTATCGAGGAACCTTTATTTTACACCTGAACAAATAAGGTGGAGGTAAAAGCGTCTTAAATTACGATTCGAACTGAACTCGGTTGTGAATATAATGTGCACAGCGGTGGTTTGAATAGTCTGCGTATACAGTAGGTGACTGCTGCTGACAGCTCCGCTCAGATGAAAGAACCATGTGGACTAAAATAAAGTGTGAGAGCAGCATCACGGGCTGCGTCTGCCCGAACCAGCCAATCTGACAAGTGATATTCCAGGTGAATATATTTGGTGGAGCAGATACGCTGGTGAGGATCGGTTCCTCTTGGAGTACTCGCAGTACAATTGGTTTATATGGGAATTACCATCATAATCCTGGTCTTTGTTAACAGGGGGAGGGATCGACACAGTGGACGTGATCCTGTGTCTTCACTTGAAGAAAACTTGGTCAAAATCAATATTTTACTGTATTCATTCATTTAAATTGCTGGGGGGGGGCGGGGGAACGAGATGTAGGCGGCACTTCAGGAACCAGGCGACGTGTTTCTAACATTGTTGAATGATTGAGCGGGATTATCGTTAGTTTATGAAATAATCTGTTAATTGTTTGGTCTTTAAAATGTCAGAAACTACTTCATAATTGGTCTGTTCTGCAAATTATTGTCTTTTCGTGACGTTTTCTCACGTGTGGACATTTTTCCAGGGGGGGCGGTCAGTAAAACTTGAACATTTGCGTCCTCACATACAGCTCCTCTTTAGAGATTTTAGGAAAAACGTCTGGAGTTCAGCGCCGCAGCTTAAATTTCTTGAAACCTTTACCTCTGTACGATATGACTCACAATCTACATAAACCACTCCAGGCTTCTCCTTCGGCAAACAACAGCCGTTACTGGTCACAAACATCTCACTCTTGGTCTCTCTGCAGAGTTTTGACGCTGCTGTGTTCAATCCTGCTAATTTATGTGGTCTTTCACAACGAGTCTTAATCTCTCAATGATATTTGATTGACTTTAATTTTTCCTCAATCGACAGAGGTGAGCCATGGCTGAACCAAACGCCTCCCGTCCCCAGAGGAAGATGTCCACAGCTGGGGAGAGTGTGTACAAGGTGCTCGGGCTGGAGAAAGGAGCGACTGCTGAGGACATCAAGAAAGCTTACAGGTGGGGGGGTTGGGGGGGGGGGGGACTCAGTAATGTGAATTATTACTCAACTTTTTAAGCCGCCTCAGTCGACAGGATTATTTTCTGCAGAGTAGACAGGTTAATCACACTGTAATTATTACATCAGGTATTTCCTTAATCCTTCACTTGAATAATCTTGTTTCTTGTCGTGTTGGCAAAAGCGTCTCGTAAATGGCGTGATCGCAGTCATTCAAGTGTTTTTACTGCAGAGTACATTTCTCCCTGTGCAGACAAACTGACGTGAAACCGTTTGCTTGCAAGTAAAATAATAATTTTTCTCATTTAGAAATCCTCGAAGTGTGTGTGTGTGTGTGTGTGTGTGTGTTCTTTCAGTTAAAACATTAATTGAGTTGTTTTTATCCGAAATTCATCTATAAAATATTTAAAAGAACACCAAGTCATGATTTCAGCTCGAAGGTTTGGTGATGTGGTTTAATTTGATGTGGTTGTTGAACCAGCTACATGTCATTTAAATCCTCTCCCTGGGTAAACAGGAACAATGTGACCTTTCATTGGTATAAAAACATAAATACCAGATTTGAACCCTTCAACACGATGTCTCCTTATTTTCTTCCTTTCCCTCCGTCCGTCACTTACCTCTGCTCCCCCGTCACTTTGATTCTCCTTCCGGTCTGTTAGAAAACTAGCGCTGAAGTATCACCCGGACAAGAACCCAGACAACCCGGAGGCAGCGGAAAAGTTTAAGGAGATCAACAACGCCAACTCTATTTTAAATGATGAGACCAAGAGGAAGATTTACGATGAGTACGGCTCCATGGGCCTGTATGTGTCCGAACAGTTTGGAGAGGAAAGCGTCAAATACTACTTCCTTATGTCCAAGTGGTGGTTTAAGGTACGTGCATATCATCTCCTACAGATTATCTCTTGATGGTCTCCTGTGTTTCTCGAGGAGATGAAGAAGTTTGTGTTGGACCACCGCCTCCTGTCACGAGGCTGAATATCGTTTCTCCCTCTCTGTGTGTGTTCGCTCCTGCAGGGTCTGGTTCTGTGCTGTACACTGTTCACCTGCTGCTGCTGTTGCTGCTGCTGCTGTTTCTGCTGTGGGAAGTGTAAACCACCTGACGACGATGAGAACTACCAGTACGTCGACCCTGAAGACCTGGAGGCCCAGATCAAAGCAGAGCAGGACGGAGGTGAGAGCTCGGGGTGGGGGGGTGGGGGTTAAGGGTTAGTTTAACGCCGTGTTTTAGAATGTTGATGTAAATATTCTGTCTTCCTGTTTCTCCTGAGACTCTGGACGGCATCATCTTTGTTTGTGACTGACTGTTCATCAGTTACTGTTCATTTGGGAGACGATGAAACGTCCCACGAGAAAACGTCTCAACGATCCTCTATTATCTGAGAAGATTTATCATTGATACAAACAAAGGCAGGAAGTGAGCTCCTTTAACCGTTAAAGCTCCTCCCCCTCGGTCCGTTAACCATAGTGCAGGGTTTTTAACTTTGCTGAGCTTTTACATGAAGTGTGCAGAGAACAAAGGTGTGTTGTAATTCTCAAGGTCAGCAGATTAAACAGATTAATTTATTTAAACGGCTCCGAAATCCAAAGATTTCTTCAGCTCAGACGAAAACAAAACATTGGTCTGAGACTTAAGACCCACCATGACTTGAATTTTTGCCTTGCACTAATAGAATATATCCAAATGGTGGTTTGAGGTGTGAGCATGTCGTCTCTGTGGATTTCAAAACACTCCAACTGTTGAATTGTTGAAATCTTTTATTCTGTAAAATAAAAGATTTCATAAATGATATGTCTTGTTAAAAAGTTTACATCAACTGATTCATTTTTGGGTCTTTGTTCATTTTGTGTGTATTATTGTTGAAAATCTATGCAAATCTACCCAACAGGTAACACAGTAATCATAGGCCAGCCCAAATCTAACCTGGCTCCAGAAAGCCAAGAAGGCCAGAGTCAGCCCATTCCCCTGCCGCTGGCCATGCCTCCAACCGAGCCCAAGTCGCCGGCCTCGGCCAGTCCAGCAGGGGCGGAAAACCCCGGAGAGACTTTACCAGAGTCGAAATGACTCGTAAGAGCCACGTCGTCCACTTTATGTGTCGCACTGTCTTCCATCGTGTGTTGTCTCGTGTGTCAGCTGTTGCCTGGCCGCACTGTCCAGCTTCCTCACGCATCCATAACAAACCCGCCCGTGTTGTCCAGTCACCACTGTCACGCATATTCACCGCGGCAGCCGCCATGTTGCTGAAGTCGTCTTGTACCTGCATGTGTCTCCACGCTGTCCTGATGCTTGTCACTGTCACGTTGTGCCTGAAGAGTCCGTCACAAAATGAGCATGACTGGATTAAGTGTTGCAGCTTCCTGTTTGTCGTATTGTTGACACATCATCAGTTAATCTTTCGGACTAACGACTTGTGTTTGATACTTGTGTGTATTGTCTGTTCAGGGAAAACTAAAAGAAGCTACTGGGACAAAACACTGTTATTTCAGAGGCAGATATTTATTTCAATTCCAATTAAATTATAATGAATTTTCTGTTTGTTTATTATTTTCCTGACGACTTTTAGAAATCTAACCAAATTACTTTCTTTGTTTAAAATATTTAATTTAAATTCCAGCCTGCAAACGTTTTTGAGAAACTTGTGTGAAACTGGTTTTATGGTTTGTCACTTTGGGTCTAAAGACACCTGGAGAGATTAGATCAGAGATTAGAGTTGTTTTTGCTTTTCGTCTCTATTTTTGTGAATGAAGTAGAGATGACGCATTTGTTCTGCTCTCCTCCTGCAGGAAAGTGACGGTGTGGATGAGCCTCGACAAGCAGAAAGGTATGAAACTGTTATTTCTGTATTAATCCTGACACACAACTCCACGCAGATCTTTATTTCTATACATGTGCTTTAATTCAGTTTCCTCAAAAACAGCTTGAAGAGTGCGATTTACTGGATTGACCCTGAACGCCTCAAAGACCCCAGCCTGCAGCGTTGTATAGAACCTGATATTTCACATTCTTTAAATCCTCACGTCCCTAAAGCGTAATTCAGGATAGAAACGCAAACATCATAAAGTTGTGAGGAAGTTAAATACCCAAGATCTTTACATATTTTAAACTTTACAACCGACCCTAACTTCCAACTGAGCCTGCCATGATTTAAACAGACTATTCCTGTGTTAGTCAAAATGTTCTTACTTCTTGATGTAATAATAATATGATGAATAATCATCCGATCACCGAATACAGCTGCTGTTGATTCAGTTTCTCCATTTCACTCTGATCTGCGCTTCTCTCCCTCTTCAGCCTTCCGAGCCCCCGTTACGACCCTGCCACATACGACTGCTGCCGGACGTCCAGGAACCCCGAGATCGACCAGCCCAAAGCCACCAGCCAGCCCCAGCCCCTCACCCCATGACCCAGCTCATCCACACACTGGACAGCACCTGAGAAGTGGGCTCTCGAAGGCTCTGGACCCGCCGCCACTGAACTTGAACGATGGAGTATTCATGTAAATCAAAACACTAGCTGGACTCACTGAGAACTTCATGCCAACTAGTACAAACAAGGCATCTCGCCGTTCTTTAATGAATCGCCCCTCACCCTCCAGCCACAGTCCAACCTGGGGGGGGTCCACTTATCCTGGGCTATGAATATGGGAATATGAGGGGACAAAAAAAAAAAAAATAGATGGTGGATCCTCTTATTTATCCAGAGCAAGACTGGAATTATCTCCATCTCCCATCGCGCCCAGTCTTCCTCTGCTCTGGGCTGTCAGGAACATATTTTTTACATTTCTTCTGCTTAAATTATTTTGCCCTTCAGAAAGAAAAGCCACGAAGGTCAGCGGTCAATCAACTCCTAAACGAAATTGTCAAATCATCTGAGACCAGCAGCTCTTCTTCTTCTTCTTCCTCCTCTCGTCTCAAGGGACAGTCGACTTCAGTTAAATGTTGCATCGCTGCCATCCGACGCTCATTGTTTCTCTTGATGCCGAGTTTAATGGTATTTAAAAAAAATTAAAAAAATGCTTCCAAGGAGGCGTTGACAGTCTGGAACATTTCAACACTATAGTTCATACAAGCGCACAATCTGAAGATGTGACGCAGCAGAAGTGACTGCAGGAGGCGACGTCCACAGATTATGTGTGTTGTTGAAAACGTCTGAGCCAAAACCTGGAGATACAAGATACAGAGGAGCAGAGTCGATAGTCACCACCCCCCCCACCGTGCATGCATTTCTGTCCGGATGCATGCCCCCCCCTAACTGTACAGCACTGGAATACACAACCACAGATGGAAGAACTGCCGACTCAAACCTTACAAACTCTGGTTACACACTTCATCCTGTATACAAAGACACACTTGTACCAGCCAACATGTCATTGTGTGCCACCCTTGGCTTAAAGAAGTGTAACCCCACAACCTTTAGACGGACGATAACAGATGCCATACCGTGGAAAACAAAGCGTCAAAAAGATGTAAATGCAAACGACTTTTAATGAATTTTGTTTTGTCTACTGCGCTTCTTCTTTTGTTGCAGACTAAGGCTACATCCACACAACTATGTTTTCGTTTGGAAACACGTCAACTCTGGAGCTGCGTGTTAGTCTTGACGGGCGGAAACTGAGATGTTTGGAAACCATGACATAGACACTCGCAGCCACTTGCTGATTTGGTCGTTTTGTCACAATGTAGAGTCGTCAGGCTGCTATCACATGACACCCCCCCCCCCCCCCCCCCCCCCCCTCGGCCACCAGCGTAGAACCCAACATTGAGAATCAATTAAAAGTGTTACTGACCCTGTTGTGCAGTTAAATTCTGTATTTTACAACGATAAAACCGTTTACATGTGGAGGAGACGAGATGTTATTCAAGCAACGTGAGTGGTCACATGATGCGTGTTAGTGGGGCGATTTAAAACCGACACGGAGCCAAAACACTCGTGAACAGAGATCCTTTTACTTTGAAAACCACATTTTTAAATGAAAACGTTGTAGCATGGATGTAGCCTTTGTTTCGTAGACCAAAGCTAACAGCTCCATGTAGCCAGCAGATCCGTTAACGAGTCGGGTGGGGGCTGATGCCAGTTGCTCTGTAAGCCACAGTTCTGTTTGTCAAAGTTTTGTATCATTTGCATTTTAGGTGAAGTGAGTCTGTTGCCATCTCATGTCATCGTCTTTCCTTTTTTGTCTCAGTTCAGGCTGTAAATCTTTTTTTGTTCCTCTTTTGTTCCAGGAGAAAGGAAACAATTGACTTTTAAGTGACTTGATTATCTATAACGTCAGGTCCAGATTCACTAAGGACGCGTGAATTGCACTGAGTCTTTTTTTTTTGTTTTTCATTTCATTCACTTGGCTCTGGAACAGCACTGAGCAAGCAACCAATCATATTTACTACAAATTTCAGGCCTAAATCATCAAGTCCTGCACTTTAATTCACAAGTGGTCCATTCTAAGTTCAGTCCCTGAAGGCACCCAGACACAAACCAAGTTTGCGTAATCCTGCTATCTAACAAATGCTGATGGGGAAAAAATAACCTCCTTGGCGGAGATGACAAGCAGGCTGCCCGTTTCCAGTCTTTGTGCGGAGCTAACCAGCTGCTAGCTGTAGCATAATGTTTGGTGTACAGACGTCAGGGTGGAGTCCGTCTTCTCTTCTGTATCTCAACACGAAAGAAACGAGGCACAAAACTTCGAAAAGGCTTTTTGAAAACATCTTGCAGCCGTGCCATCGTTTAGGTCCCTGGTTCAAACATTGCTTTAGTGTCCGGTGTGGAGTTGTGTTGCTTGTAGGTAATTTTTTTTAAGAGTTTTAAAATGAATGTTTTCCCTCTTAAAGTGGTGGCTGAAATTCTAAGGTCAATCCTTCCTTTTGTTTCTCCTTCCATGATAAAATAAAGTCCGCAGTGCGTCCGTCTAGTAAATGTGAAGCTCGTCTCTCAGCTGCTGGAACTCTTCACTCTTGCCTGGTGAACTGCAGTAAACTAACATAGACCCACACGTAGGAGCAGCTTTGTTTCATGACCTTGAATCACAACCTGCTCAACAACCAGCTGAGATCTGTTACTTCACTCTGTCCTGGACATATCAGCTTGTATTTTTCTGTGGAACTGTCTGCAAACTTGAAGGTGATTATTTCACATGATTGTTTTTTTTTGTTTTTTCACCATCGATAGCCAAAACATTTAATTACGAGAGTTTCTAGTTACATGTCAGGTCTTTAATTTTCTTTAAATCTTCTCAAATGATCTCACTTCAGTATAGAGGCCAAGGTAGACTGGTTATTTATTGTTTTTTAATTGTTGTAAATAACTCATGAAACAGCAAATTAATGACAATAATTCCTTATTGTTAATAGACAGTTTGTATTAAATTAATGTCTGTTATAACAGCGTACATGCGTTTTTACTTTTTATTTATATTGCATAGAAATTCCATGACTTCAATTTAATAATACTAACATTAGTGGCTGCGGGAGGTCAATGTTTTTGATCAACTTCTGAGGTTGCATCATAGGTCTTAATCCCTGCCTCCTCCATGTAAGTTGATGGTACATGGATCAAACATAAAAAGAAAATGGTTGCTGTCATTTCAGGTCGTCTTTTTTCCGTGTCCCATCTGCTAACATAGAGGACGTGGGGGTTTATAACCTATACTGCAGCCAGCCAGCAGGGGGCGTCATGTCGTTCATCTTAAAATCCATGTTAACCCTCAGTCACCAACACATCATGGAGCGAACGTTCTTCCTTCGACTTTCCCGCTCTCTGCTGGGAAAGTTGTGCCGTGGTACAATCTTCTACAAGAAGGTTTTTCTTTACTTCAATGTCAAGAAACAAATTGAAAATATGAGTCGACCAGCACGAGGAAGACATTTTATCATTTTAGGTGACGTTTTTATGTTTTTCTTCTGGATGTGGACGATCTGTAAATGAGTTATTAATGAAATTCAACCAAATAAAAAAAACGGGGATTTTATAACTTCCTTTGTCTTGTATTTGTACGTGATTGTGAAAACTGTTCTAATCAAACGTGAACGTGCAGCAAAGACGAGGACAGAAGAGCTAACAAAGCTAAATAAACATAAACATGACTTATGTACAAATAGTTGGAAAAAAAAGATATAGTTCAGCAAATGGTGTTTGAAATCTCATCAGTTCATCTTTGAGTCTAAGTGGATGTTAGTGTCACAGTTGATCAGGTTCTCTGGAAGCGTTTTTAAGAGAACGTGTTCACAGGGGAAAAGGTTTTGTTTGGTTGGTTCATTATTGAGGGTTGGAACCAAATTTGAAGAAATTCCTTCGAGGCGTTTTTTAAGACATGTTCACAAGAACGGGAACGACGGACAACCTGAAAACATAATTCCAAACACTGACCAAACCAATCAACAATCTTTTAATTGAATATTCTGACCATTTTGAAAAAACTTGATGTTACGCAGCAGAAGTTTTACCAGGTCTTTGTGTCACTGACGACCGACTGGTCGTGTACGGATTCATGAATTACTCTGTGTTTGTATGTTTAGCTCACACATCAGCGGCCCTCTGCCCCCGAGCCTATAAATACTCAAGTAATCCGGTTAGTGGCTCAGTCTACTTAGCCAACACCATTTTGTTGATTAGTAAATACGCGGTGTGCTGAAGCAGCAGACCCCACCACTGTCTCCTGCACCCATCAGACCTGTCAGAGGTCAGAGGTCAGGGGGACAGAGCGACTCCAGTGTTTACACCAGTGTTTACTGTATGTGCACACGTCATCCAGTTTTAATTATCCTTTTTAACAGAGGGACGTCGTTTCATGATTTTTGATTTATTTTTTTTGTTTTTTCATTCTTTTCATCTCTTAAGTCTTGTATTTGAAGTTTTTCACTTGAACAGTTTTCACTTTATATATAAATACACTCACATCTGCTACACCATCATTTACACTCTGTTAGTGAGATGCAGTTTGATATTGGGTACAGCCCTTCCTGTGACGTGTGCGGGGATGTAGCTCAGTGGTAGAGCGCATGCTTTGCATGTATGAGGCCCCGGGTTCAATCCCCGGCATCTCCACTTTTCTTCTTCTTCCTCCTCCTCGTCACACATTTTTCAGATTTGACTTTTTAACGTCACTTTTGACAAACTTACGTCATAACAACTCTTCCTTTGTGGTTTTATTTGTAGTTTAACCTCGCTGATGAGTTAGACGATCTGGAAACACGTTCACAACAGACACTGAAGGTCAAAGTACAAATATTCACACTCTACACATTTTGTTGACACTGTATATATTCGTTTTTAACTATATTTCTATATATATATTTTTTTTAAAGCTGTCATATTATTTATATTTTGACTTCCGCACTGGGCTGTAGTATTTTTGGCCTGGTTGTGTTGCCGTCGGGCGGGTTGTGATGACGTCACGCAGCCCTAGCAACCGGCGGTAACTAAGGCTTTGTTGACAACGAGGCAGCCGCAGTGTAGCGTCACTGTTAGCTGTTAGCGGTTAGCTGCAGAGGATCCAAACACTGCTCGGTGTCTCGGGCCGGACTCTCGAGTGGACGAGTCTCCTGGAGAAATCGAGCAACATGCACCTGAAGCACCTGAAGACGCTGCTCACTCCGCAGGTGCGTCCGGCGACGAGGACGAGCTAATGCTAATGCTAGCAGAGCAAAAATCAAAACATGGCTACGAGCTCCTCGTCAGATCCTCGTTCGTTCCTCCGCAGATTTCTACATCACGTTGTTTGACTTTCTCGTGTGTCGGTTTGTTTCTCCAGGTCTGACACGTTGAAAGTTTGGTTTTTGTTTTAATTTATAATTTAGTTCGATTTACCCTCAGCAAGCAAAACTTATTCTATTCTTTTCAAACTTTCACACACACAGTTTCAACCTCTCTAAGCACGTTTTGTCAGTTTCAGATCAGGGCCTGATCTTTATATGTTACCTCTGTACTTCTTCTTGTATTTGTTTCATGAGAAGCAGAAGCTCCAGCCCCAGGTTGCTGTCGACCCTTTGTCCTGCCTGGTTCTGTCCAGTCGTCCGTCTTTTGTCATCGTCTAACTGTTTGTCTTCTCTGCCTTTCGAAGGAGGGGGCTGCCAAGGTGACGTGCATGGCCTGGGCGCCGAACAACAGCAAGTTAGCCGTGTGCACGGTGGACAGGGTGGTGCTGCTCTATGATGAGCACGGAGAGAGAAGAGACAAGTTCTCCACCAAACCTGTGGACTCCAAGGTGAGAGACTCTAGGCCACACGTCAGGACGGTCATGAAATCCTATGGACGTCCTCTCTACCTGAATTCAAAGTTTCAAATACACGATCCTCTGAGTCTACACACTTTAAGAGCTGCGGCGTCTCGTCCACTTGTCAGATATTTAACCACTTGTGTGGTTTTTATTTTCAGTACGGGAAACAAAGCTATGTCGTCAATGACATGGTGTTTTCACCGGACTCCACCAAAATCGCCATCGCTCAGTCCGACAACATCATCTTCGTCTACAGGATCGGAGAGGATTGGTAAGTTTCTTTTAACTTTCCGTATTAAACCTGATTTTGTTCTGTACGTCGGACACTTTTAATCTGTTATCTTCTCTTGTAGGGGGGACAAGAAAGCCATTTGCCACAAGTTTGTTCAGACAGTAAGTAAACATACACATATGTATATTTTCCTTGTTTATATTGCATGTTCACTTATTTATATTTTTTTACTGACGTCGTCTTGCTGCTGCTTCTTGTCTTATCTTATCTCAGAGTGCTGTGACCTGTCTGCTGTGGCCTGCAGAACATGTCATAGTTTATGGTTTGACTGATGGAAAGGTGAGTCAGTAAAACGTCCAAACTCAGAAGAAAACAGAAAACCTTATGTTTGTTTACACTTTACACACAGTTTGTTCAGGTATGATTGTTATGAGTAGTACTAAGAGTAGAAGACACAGCACAAAGTACATTTTATTTCCTCCTTCTCTAATTGTTATATGAAAGATGTTTACACATTTTATCTCAGCATTAAATCATTAAAATTACATTTGTCTTTGTTGCTATTCTTTTTTTTT